CTTCGTAAAAGTGCTTATTTATAGCCTATTTTCAGAAATAAATGAGTTTTATGAGTTTTTAATTACTGACACAATATATTTTTTAATTTATCCCGACCCTAAGTCATAGATCAAGACATTAAGGTGAATGTTACTGTTTCTAGATAACGTAGAGTCGCTAGCGATCGCGTATTGATAGAGTCGTACTATTTACTATTAGCGTGATGGAGTACGTAATATTTATCTACCATTTCATACGAAACTTAGGAATTTAGCAAAACGGCCTCGATATCAAAATCAAAATCAAAATTATCTTTATTTGTATAGACACATATTCTTTTTTTGCCCTACCAGAAGAAGAAGATAAGATGAATGTTCTTTATCTAGAAGCGCTGAAGAGTTTTAAAACTTTAGCCACAAAATTGACCCTAACTCTGGACGATATTTTTATTTAAATGCACCTACATTTATTCAAGCGGTAATAACATGAATCACACCAATAAAAGTCTCGAATCGAACCGCATGCAAAATCGTTTATTACTTTCCCGACAAGTCACCCTGACGCGGGTGACGTGCGGAGGGCAGTCCCTATTGACCTCCGACTCGACGAGATGGCTCACTGAGGGGACGCTAGCACTTTCACTTGACTTGCGAGTTTTTCAGGGGTGAGAAGTGAAAAAATTAGAGGCTTACGAGTATTTTTATTTATTTTACTACTTTATTTTTATGTTCTTTTTTAATAAGGACACTGTCATAATTACGACACGTCGGTCACAACTCTAACAGGATGATAAACACGGTGATGATCCAAAGAAATGCATTTCGTGTTAATAGGATCATTTTAGAGAATCAGTACTCGGTGACCATTGTCAATTGAAAAGGCTTCATTGTGAAGAAGATTTGCTACTGACATTTTCGTTTCAATAAGGGTTTTCGCGAATGAAATATCCGCTAGATGGCGGGACGTTGATGTGGGGTCTGACTGCTGCGTGATTGGTGGATTTTGACATATATGTCAATGTCATGTCAAAAATAACCAATCATGCAGCATTTGGACCTCGCGTCTACGTATTGCCATCTGGCGGATTTTTCATTCGCGAGAACCCTCCTTGCACACTCACTACATACTTTTAAAGCGTTAGGAAAAGTTTAAGAAAAATACCATATAATATGAATCATACGGTGTTGTAAAACAGTTTTCGCTTCACCGTGGCAGCAAATATCTTAGACTGTTCTTAACTCATAAATGACTGTTTCTTAGCAATATTCCATCAGATTACACTATAACATCTGTAGTGCCGCATCGATCTGCGAGTTACGGCAATCTCGTTTGCTCACCCCGTGACATTTGCATTGATAATTACGCGTAAACGCCGCGCGTAATCTGTATGTCTACCATGAGTTTACGTTAGGTGAGCTCGCTAGCGAATACGTCAAAAGATTCTATGAAGATTTTATTTCTTGAAAGTAGCCGCTAGGGGCGCTGCACAATATGTCATACATTTAAATGTCATTTTTTTACGCAGTCGCTAGCGAGCACACCTAACGTAAACTCATGGTAGGCACACTGATCAAGGAGTTAGTGCGGGGCTCCTAAGTGTACACTTAACTAAGAGAAGACATAGTCTTGAATTAACTATAGTATGACTACGAAAGCTTACCAAATACTTTTCATTATGTTATAAGGCTCAACACAGTCACACGGCAATCCATTTTTCCGCATGATTCCGCAAAACTATGTAGACTGTCGTGTGAATATAAGTGTGTGTTCGAAATTAAAACGGATTGGTTAGTTGATGGATAGTGCAAACGGGATGTTCGTGTGAATATTAAAAAAACTACTAAACGGGATCCTGCAAAAAACGGGATGTCTTCGTAGGAAAGAGCTCTTAAACACAATATTTTGTGTCTTAAATGTGACATGCGAATAGTAATTAATATGGTTGCTCTGAAATTTTATTTAACAAGGCAGATTATTATTCGATCGCAAGTAAGTGAGATGCAGTCTAGGTTTGCACATTCTGCCCTGTAAGCCTATTCACTCTCTACTCGTATTGCAAGTCTGTTGTGCATGATTCTGACCAGCAACGAACTCTGTTCAGTGTTCATCCACTACACAAGGTTGAACCCGCTCATTTGTCGCGCGCACAGGCCTGCATCAATCAGGGTATTAGCATTAAGCCGGCGCGCGACGTCGCAGCGTGAGCGCACGCGTAATCGCAGCACTAGCGTTTTTGGTGCCGTTGCTAATAGTGTTGCTAATATAAGCATGCTGGAGGTGGGATTTTCACATAACAGAAATACCTTACTCTGATTTTTCACTTCTGATTAATTTCGTTGCGGGTCTAATGACAGTTTAACTTTCCCCCGGGTCAAACTTGACCTTCACTGTTTGGGTTTTTATTGGCGCTCAAGCTGTAGATCCTGGCTACACAGGAGTTGCAGCGGTCTGAACGACAGGTGGGAATAGTCCCGTACTCTGATTTTTGGGTTAATTTAGTGATTAATAAAAGTCTTAAAATGCAATATAAAAAAACCTAAGACTGATTCTTATCTTAATCTTTTAATTTCAGGTTTTATCGGCATTACATAATTATCTCTTTTAAAGTTTAGGCTTCAACATTCTAGTAAGTACATACACTCACCTCATTTGTGAGTGGTCACACAGGCCTGCATCAAAAGGGGATTATCTGTAAGTCGCGAGATATCTGCAGTAATTATAGCGCAATCACAACACTAGCATTTTGGTTACTATTGTTCAGATAATAAATGATGTTATTGTATAGAGGATGGGGATTTGATGATGAAGTTAAACGCCTCCATGGTGGTGTGGTCAAAGTCAGACAATAGTATATAATATTTTCATGGGTCGGTTTCTATGTTGGCTCTGGTTCATAAAATCGTACTGAAAAATATTTAAGACTGTAAAATCATATTATTTAAAATTTGGGTTTTTTGCTAATTCATGATTAATTAATTATTATCAGTGGAAATATTATCAGTCTGGCTAATTATTATTTCTTCTAACGAGTAATTAGAGATAATAAATGTTAGACTTCTTATGAGCCGGCGTAGGCATCTAACATTGCTCAAGCCACCCCTCCAAAGAACGTTATTATATTTCATGAATACAATGTTCAATATCTTGCATTAATTAGGATTCGTTGAGTTCTGCGTAAAAACGAAAGGGAGGGGACAAAATATTAGTTAAACTTAACGACCCAAGATTCATGGCTAAAATCGGATAAACTTGTAAATGGTTTAAGACATTTTAAGCCCATGCTTACCGTTGTTTACCTTGCAATAATCCGTGTGATGAATGATGTTTGCGATCGAGGCGGCACGGCGCTCACAGCGACGTTTGGAGATAACTGGCTTACTCCCGGCTCCAGAGGCTTATTTGCAAGAAACAATAATGGTGGAACTGATTATCTTATAAATAAAGGGTAAGCTACTCCTTTTGTACATCTGAACTAAACTACTAAAGCTACGGAACTGCGCAATCACTCTTGGATTATTTGATAATGTAATAGATATCGTTCTTACTATCCCAATCCACTTAAATAAACCCACATGATAATCGTCAGATTTACCCGGCATTTAGGTATACATTTTGTTTTGAATTAGGTAGGTCTGTTGATTTGTTCTTAGACACTTCAAGCCACTTCATTGTTCACCAGCAGCAAAAACCAAATGGCTACTTTAATACCTCTGCTTCTAAAGCTAAATATATTCCACATAATACGATACAAAAATATTTGAGCATTTTGAATAACCAAAATACATTTTATTACATAGTCATGTACCTACTACAATTTTCGTGAAGGGACGAACGCAATGTAACCGATTTTCAACAAGCCACCCGGAAAAACTAATCTCCTTTTAATACCCCAAGACGTAGGTTAGGTTCCCAAGAAAAACTAGTTTTAATATCGGCCAGCGATATCTGCGTCCAGTAAGTGTGGTGGGGTGTGGCTTAAGTTACAGTTTGGATTATGAATAAGGCAGATCAAACGTTTTCCCTACGAGACTTTGATTTTATTTATACTTTTGCACGTAAAACTGTACAGTGGCGGACTTAATGCCAGATGGCATTCTATCTCTTGATGTAATTACTGAACTATTGAAGACGTTGCTTTTAATGTGTTGAAACACTCGTTTAAGGCATAAATATATTAAATTTTATTATGTATTTATAAATAATTTTAGCAAATATATTTAATGCAAAAAATAATGTTGCAAATGTCGATAAAATTAAAAATCAGATCTACGTCATGTTTGCCGATTTTAAAATCTTTTGAAATGTTATTTTCAACTTCGAAAAACTTATGCTATCTGGGCCTTTTTCCACCTCTTGCTCTAATTCTCATACACTGATTTTTTATTTCCTTATAGTCCATTGAAATTAAGTTAAGGTTAAAATCTATGATCCTTTGAAGATATTATTCTTTTTTTAGTTTTCGGCTATTAATCAAGACATTGTCAAAATCACTTATCCTAAGAGAAATAGACTAAAGTAGTAGACATCTAATTAAATTTAATTAAGGTATACAAATTATTCACACACAATCACAAAAAAAAGAAAAACAAAAGGTAAATTGGGTAATGTACGTGTTTGAAATGCCATAGGTACAAACCGAAGCTTGATGTTGTTCTGGTTTTTGGTTATATGTATACGTTGTGTAGACCACTTATGTGAATAAACCTCAAGAAGACGTGTGAATAAAAATTTTCAAGATCAAAAAACTGGTGTTCGCTGCGCAGCACGCGAAATACTGCGGAATTTAGGATAATTTTTCACGTTTGGTCTATAAGTCATAAAAATATAAGCCTTTAAATAAAATAAACCTTATAGGCATAGCCGTAATTACTAACTGAAGAATACCTTCTAATCTAACCATTATCACAAATTACTAATTATGGATTTCCAAATTGGATAAGTCGATAAAAAAACCCAAAAGATAAAATTTAATAACCTTCATTTGGTATCACAAACGAGTATAAGAACAGGCAACACGATCAGCGATTATCACTGGTAGATTCAGCCGTGACAATGAAGTCGTCCCTCTTGTTCCTGTTGGTGGTGGCGGTGGCGGCGGCGGAGCTGCTGCAGCCCAACACGCGCTACCACGAGACCGAGGGCATCCCGAAGTTCCAGCTGATGAAGCAGCTGGAGGAGGGAACCGACTTCGACGGCGGCAGGATCTGGGGCGGGCAGGCCGTCAGCGGCGGTACCCATCCTCACCTGGCAAGTATTTGACCTACATGTTGATGTGTGCATCAAATGTACTGAGTCCCATGTCATCATAATTACAACACACATCGTTCGTTCGTTCGTTCGTTCGTTTCAGCCGAAAGACGTCCACTGTTGGACAAAGGCCTCCCCCAAGGATTTCCACAAAGACCGGTCCTGCGCCGCTTGCATCCAGGTACCTCCCGCGACCTTCACCAGATCGTCGGTCCACCTAGTGGGAGGCCTGCCCACGCTACGTCTTCCAGCTCGTGGTCGCCACTCAAGAACCTTCCTGCCCCAGCGGCAATCAGCTCTTCGAGCTATGTGCCCCGCCCACTGCCACTTGATTTTAGCGATTCTGCGGGCTATGTCAGTCACTCTGGTTCTCCTACGGATCTCCTCATTTCTGATCTGACGCAGGGAAACTCCGAGCATAGCACGCTCCATCGCTCTTTGGGTGACCTTGAGCCTTCTTATGAGGCCCATAGTAAGCGACCACGTCTCAGATCCGTACACCATCACTAGCAACACACACTGGTCAACACACATCACTTCCAATGTATCCTGTTGGAGTAATTTTAATGTTTCTGCACAGGGAGGACTGTGGATCACCCTGACCACTGGACAGAACTCGATCTGCGGCAGTTCGCTGGTCAGCAACACGCGCTCGGTGACGGCGGCTCACTGCTGGCGCACCAGCACCTTGCAGGCGACCATGTTCACCATCGTGTGGAACTCTAACTCTATATTCTGGGGCGGCACGCGCATAAACACCAACCAGGTCATAGAGCACCCGAATTACAACGTGTGGAACTTGAACAACGATGTGGCCGTCATCATACACAACCACGTAAATTTCAACAGTGAGTTTCTTTTATTTACGCTGTATTTTACCAAATGAAGAATTTATGAGTATGCGACATATTATCTTCAAGGCGAGAGCAAATAAGCACTTACAGGGCAGGTATATGCCATCCTAAACTGCAACTCACTTAACATCAGGTATGATTGCAGTCAAATACCGGCTTTGTTCTGCATACAAAAAATCGAGATACGAGTATATTATGATTTTTTTAGAATATTTTCGCCATTGTGCCATCTGCATATTTTCCAGATAATATCCAGCCAATTGCCCTGGCCACTGGCTCGCAAACCTACGCGGGAACCTGGGCAGTCGCTGCTGGATACGGCCAGACTGGCGATGGTGAGTCATGCAACAAGAGTTATATAATAAAATGTTATGCTTTTAAAAGAAATTGCAGAGATATTAACTCGTACCTCATTTATCTACTAATTTCCTTGCATGTTTGCAGGTAATTCACCGTCTGGCACTAAGTTCCAAGCCAATCTGCTGGTGATCACCAACTCAGCGTGCCAGGGAACCTGGATGCCCGGCATCGTCATCGCGTCCACGCTGTGCGTGAGCACCGCGCACGGCAGCAGCACCTGCCCCGGCGACTCCGGCGGCCCGCTTGCCGTCGGCTCCGGCAACAACAGGCAACTGGTTAGTACACGCTGATTGCATAAATGTTTGTACGATAAACAACACAACCAGATACGAAGCCATGATAGCCGAACGGTGAAGGGATCGGACTGGCCGACTCGTGATCCAGGGAACGCGGGTTCAGTTCCCGCCACCGCTCGACTATTGTGGTGAGCTCACTCGTGATACAAGCATATTTAGCTTAGTACGAGGGCTAACGGGACTATTAGTAATTTGTATAAAACAAATTACTAATAATCCTTAAAAAATGAATTATCAACGATACACCTCAGGTCTTATACCCGAGTTAATACGACGAGTTAAATAAGTGAAATTAATCAAATCAAAGCAAGTAATTTTGTGATCATTGACTTGACTTTGATCAGTATCAGAGCAGGTCCTCATTAAAGATCTCGGGAAAGTTGCCTCGTCAATGCCAAAATAAAATTAGAAATCCTGAATGAACTATAATATGCTGGTATGTTTTATTTCAGATCGGTATTACTTCTTTTGGAACTCAGTGGTGCGCTCAACACCACCCTGCTGGATTCGCTCGAGTCACCTCGTTTGCATCATGGTTTAACAGCCATATGTAAAAAAACTACAACGTATAAATAAAGTATAAGTCTTGTACCAAATAAATCTTTCACTATCACTAAAAAAGTTTTATTGCAATTATTGTATGGCATTTCAAACACCCAATTTACATTCTGTATGTATTTTTGATATTGTGAGTGAACGTTGTTCTTTTTCAATCTTCAAAGGATCGTTGTTGGTCCATATTAGGATTATAGAGTTGCAGTCCCGTTAAATTGTTATTTAATGGACTATAAAGAACGGATTTTTGTCAAAAAATTCGTAGTCAAAGCCAAAATCTTAGCTAGTATACGTTTTTTGATGTCTCTCATGGCGTAGTGTTATTATATTAAACTATTTAGCATGCACTGAAATATCTTCAGGACATGTCTTCTTTTGTTACCCCAACGACTGTTATTTCCTTTTGAAATACAGCGATCGCTTCCACTTATCCTTTGGCCAGCCGCTGCAAGCCGGGTGGTGATATATGGACGGCGTCCATACGCGAGTTTTTGCTCGTCCATGATCGATGGCGTCGACATTGACCCTAATACACACTCGATTATAGATTCTGCTGATCATCAGCCAGTTGGAGAATGGGACTATTTGTTTAGGCGACAATTGAGAGCTGATGCGTAATGTGATGCAAATTGAAATAAGCTTGTTTTGATATGATTAATTGATGACATACGAGTATCTGACTGAATGAACAATATTGAGAACGGTTAAGTGAGTTGAATTCTTGATATTATGTAAATAATTTCTTCTTTTCAACCTAAAGACGTCTGCTGCTAAACTGCCTTCAGCATTTTCATGATGATTTTAATTCCATCGTGTAGGAAAACTCCAAGTATAACACACTCCATCGCTCTTTGGGTGGTCCGTAAATAATTAAAATAAATGAATTTTACGTCGATTCACAGCTTGGTTAGAATATTTAAATAAATTAAACTGATTGTTCAATAAATATTCCAGTTACAAGTGACAGCTATCCTCTAGGCTAGTTTGCTCCATCGTAGATCGCATCTACCCTTCGCGTCAGATTAAGATCAAGAGCTAGGCACTCAAAGCTAAAAATAAATATTAAGCTACGTGTTTTTCATTAGTAATAATAACAAAGATAATGTTTTGCTATATTAATTGTATTGTCGATTAACAGAGTTTCTTTGCTAACGTAACTTTTAACGTTTAGTTTCGATGCACACTTTGTAACTGTGTGACATTACGTCTGTGTTCATGTGACATTATGTGGAATGTAATTATTGTCACTATTGAACATTCCGTGTTCAGCTGCAATACTCTTAGGTAATAAACAGACAAAGACGTGGGCGAAGTGTAGCAACATACAACAATGCTGAACCTCAAGACTGACCACGAAATTTACCGCCCGCCAAATTGCTGACATCTGCCACTGTACTTGGAGACTTAACACAACTACTGAAGGTCTCGTATCGATTGGGTGAAGGAAGACTTGCGAAGTTCATTAAGACGCCACGGTTTGCCAGCGTCAGCCGAAGTTTGGCCGTGTTAGAAGGTTCGGAGGGCGCTCCTCCAGTACGTGGGAAGCTATAAATAATTGTAATTAATATACTAAGCGTTATATTCTTGAAAACAAAGTTGAAAATGCACTGAAAATAGATCAGTGATATTGATTAAAAATGCCAGAAAGATTACTTGCGTTCCAATAAAAAAAAGCTTTGAAAGAAATCTTCATGTTAGCTCAGTTGGCTGCCAATAGCTGCCTACTTAATGCTATACCATGTAACTCTTCCAAAACTACAGATTTAATTAAAAAAGTTGGAGTTAATCTTTGTGGCATTCTTTGCAGCAGTTCACACTGTCATTGCTGAAAATGATGACAGCATTATCATTGCAAAAGTATACAAATCTTACTGAACACATCAAATGGTGTGATTACTCATTTATCATTTGGTATGAATGTAGAGTCGAATTCCAATTTGCAGAAGGTTTTTCAGTTATTATAGTATCATGATATAGCTTCCTTTGGTATACCGTGGCCCTTATGTACTACAATACTTGTATTACCTACTCGAGACATACACAAGCTTACATGTATATTTCAATATAATAGAAACGTCTTAACAGGACTTAGTTATTAGTTCTAAACCCAGGACTTAGCTAAATTGAATTAATAATGATATAGTAAATGAAATGTAGGTTCCACTTATCATTTAGCAATAGATTGACTATGATTGGTGTACAGCTGTCAACCGAGTCAGTGTACGATAGGTTTACCCGAGTCGAGTTATTCAAGATTGGCAGCCTATCACGTAAATAATAGGCCACTCTAGGGGCCGTCCATAAATTACGTCATCGATTTTTTCAGATTTTAGACCCCCCCCCCCCTACAATCATCCTAGCGTCATTTCTTAATGACCCCCCCCCCTTCTCCCAAAATTGACGTCATTACCAGTTTGACAAAATTAAAACACTTGTAGAATCACTTTTTATTTTTTTTTAATAGATAGAGTGATTCTTAAGGAAGGTTTATATGTATAATACACGTAAGTACCACGGGCGAAGCCGGGGCGGGCAGCTAGTATTATATGTAATCAGTAGCGGCGGAAGGGGGGGGGGGGGCACCCCCCCCCCCTATCTATCATTTACCGTCATCCGCAGACCAACCCCCCCCCCCTAATTTAGAATGACGTAATATATGGACGGCCCCCTACACATAAATTTGATAATTTTATTATTTATTACATTCCGGACACCCTGTATAAGCCCTTTGCGAGTTTGAATGTTATAAAGCGGAGTTTGTTACTTCCTTAATTGTCGCCCCGCCACAGTTCCCAACTTTTATCATCCCGAACCTAACGAAGTAACGACGTCATCAAAAGAAAATAAATAAAAAAAACAATCGAAACTCGGAAGTACGTGCCTGCCATAACCATACCGCGATAGCGCCACGATAATTTATTCCTCCAAAATAACGTTTTAATACATTAAAGGAATTGCAAAACGAATAACTGGGTGCCAGCCCATTTTAATGAGCACCTCCCAGGATTCTTTCGGCATAGTTCCTGGGAGGTGCGTAGAAACTTCAAATTAAGATTCTTGGAGTTCCTCAGGGAGTAAGATTAATGAACGATGGCACCTGAGGGTTCCGTGCCTGCTAACGACCCCCCTCGGCGTGGGGGTGACCCCCGATAGGGTCAGAGAAATTACTGTTCGAAATAATAAGCGAAAAAATCCGCTGGGGTAAACGTGTTTGGGCAGCGATAAGGGCAGCTGCCATTTTGAGTCTTGAGCTTTGCGCTAGTTATTGCAATTCAATGGACCTGTGTGCCTACCATGAGTTTACGTTAGGTGTGCTCGCTAGCGACTGCGTAAAAAAATGACATTTAAATGTATGACATATTGTGCAGCGCCCCTAGCGGCTACTTTCAAGAAATAAAATCTTCATAGAATTTTTTGACGTATTCGCTAGCGAGCTCACCTAACGTAAACTCATGGTAGGCACACTGATTTATGACTCGCTATCGTTTACGCCACTTATAATTTATCATTAATATCTCTAAGCACAAGGAGGTATTTTAATCCGATTTCGACTGGAAAATCAGAGACAAAACCTGTAATAAATTCAAGGTAAAAACTAACTTAATTTCAGATCATTAACTGTATTATCAGATAAGTTGAGGTTTTAGGTAAAAAATGCAACATTTTCTCTAAAGCGACACTAAAAAAAAGTATCATATTGAAGTGGGAAAGGGATTACTTTCCCACTTCAATATGATACCTAATTAAGTTCCCAGAAGTTCAACGTTAAAACATCAACAAAAATATACTAAATACGATTATTTACAGTTCACTAAATATTTCTCTGTGAAATAATTGCTAAGCCCGAAAACAGTTAGCAAACAAAATAATAGCGCATTCGGTGTAATCAAACATTTTGCATTAAATCACTCGCATGCACTCGCAAATAATATTTATCGCATTAGGATTATCAAATTGATATGAATAATTCAGCGCCGTTTCACTTACCACGTATTAATTTATTACGTTGGAATTGTGAACTGCGTACAAAGTACTCATCTTTGACTAATGAAACGTTTATCCATCGAAATTATTAGAGTTAGCATCATATTTGTTACTGTGGAAATTTTCACATTATTGTCTTTATTAGTTAATATTCAGTAAAATCCTCCATTTTCGTCTGGTAAATTAGAGAGTCGTGCTCCTGCAGTGGAGACTAAAATGACCTAATGATTCAGTAAAATAATAGAAAATAGTTATTCTATTCTGGATAATTTACGTTAGCCTTTAAAACCTCGTTTATTAGCTCTTACAGAAGTAAAAACTATTCTAATAACACTTTGTTTGATGTATCTTTATGTTGTATTCATTTTGACTAGGTATTTTTAAAATCCCAAAAACTTCTAGGGAGCTCATACTAGATCTAGTCTGTAGAATTAGTCCTTATTACTTTCCCCTTTTATTCTGTAAAATTATTTTAGATCATGATAATTACCTAATTACATATCAGGTAGGTGTTATCTAATATGTATCTCAATTTAAGTTTTCTCCATAGTTTCAAATTCTTTGTTGCGTCTATTAAAAAACCGTCTGTTCCACATCGCAGTACAAAGACAATCTGTCCCATTCATCGGCAGGCCCGTTAATAAGACTATGTATGTGTCACAATGGAAATAATACTGTGGATAATGGCGAATGGGAAAATAGCTCGTTGAGTGTTGCTAGCCTCAGCCACAATGCCCCGGGAACAATGGCCAGCCCTATTTCTGCCTAGGACAGGCCAAATGAAACAAAAACCGTTAAACAAAAAGTATGAAGTGGGACTGGTTATTATAGCTCGGATTTGAAATTGATATGCGTTGGAAAGCCACTTAAGAGTATCTTATGGATTTATTCTAGTTTTATTTTTTGTTCGCTCTGAGTTGGTAATAAAGGTAAACTTTATTATCACAAAAATTCGTTGGTAGATGTTAACCATTTTTTATTTCAGGCATAAATAAGAAGATTGTTTTTAAAGGTACTAATTGAGTACTTATTTTGTACAATCGCGGTTGCTGGGGAGCATGGAATTCATTTGGT